TCTCGGGGATTATAACTGAAAATTCTGTTGGATTCTTGTTCAACTTCTATTGAGATTTCTATTGGTTTTCAGCTAATTCTGTAGAAGAATTCCGGAGTTTCACTGCACTTTTCTTTTAAATCCAGAATAGAAATTATTTTATAGAAAAACACCAGTTAAATTTTATTCTTCTATACAACTTTTTCTATCGAGACATTGTCTATACAAATTCCTCGATATAAATTTTCCAAATTTTTTACACGTTGTTTTGTTTAGTTTTTCAGAATATTTTCCCATTGAACATTGCTATTGAAAAAAACGCATGAATAAGCTACGCAATTTTTCAATAGAATCGCTCAAAAGTTAATACAATGGAGTTCAATAGAAATCCAATAAATATTCCTAACTAGCTTTTTCCAGCTTTTTTTCATGGAATTTTTACGTACATAAGAATTAGATCTTGATAATGCGTCGAGGGGATAATCACTTATAGAATCTGTTTCATATATGGAATTGAAATTCTATGAAATACTGAGAAAAGTTCTCAAAATCCGTGAAATCCTAAAAGTTTATCGAAAAAATTCATGAATTTTTTCAAAATATGTACATCAGTAAAAGAAGCAAATTTATTGGTAAATTTATAAACTCCGTAGAATTTCCCAAAAGATTTTTTCGAATTCGTTAGAATTATTGGAGAGGATTATACTGGTCAGAAAATAAATGGTATGTATTCAGAACAAGTTTTAATCGAAGTTTGAATACTTTTCCGAAATTACATTATCATTATAATCTAGATTCTTATACCTTTTTGTCCATTAACCGTTTGTTTATCCATTTTATTTGCGACATAAATTTCAATTCATTCATTCTTTTTATATTTATTCTGACATGAATACAAATTTTTGTCATGAAGATTGGAAACTAGATTGTCTGTACTCCTCATCCTCGCAAGACAGCTTTTTTGTAATCCTCAAAAATGTTACAAAATTTCTCAGACTTTGGAACCTTAAAAATTTGAACTGTTAGAAATCTCATGAAATCTGATGATATTTCTGTGGATTTTTAGGAATTCCATAATCTTTGAAAGTTTCAAAACGAAAAAAATTAGAATGTTCCAAATTTTTTAATTTTCAAATCTAGTATACGATTTAATTTCGAATGATTACCCCCTCGCAATTCATCTATCTGTCCTTTCATCCCTTGAACTAGGTACCCTGACGGAACCTGTAGACTGCTAGTAGAGAGTGAGTTGACTCTCTATTTGTTCCTGGAGTGGAGAGATAGTTGAGAGTTCGTGGAGAGTTGGACTGACAGGGCCAATTCTCTACTCATGAGTACTTTTAGAGAGTAGATAGCTGAGGGGAGGACTATTCTGGGCTTCGTGGATTTAGACCCTTGAGTAATCTGACCCTCTAATCTTTAGAACCTTAGACCTCATGCCTCTTTGAACGCTGTAACGTGACATTTTCGTATGGGGGTTAAAAATGCCTATTACCTTCGCCCTTCTTCCCCTTCATCTAGTTAAACTCAAAAATACAAAAATCTATGGGAGCCAGGTAATTTTTAGCCGGAATTACCAAACCGCATGATTCTACAAAACCAATTCTAATTGATTCCAAAACCTCAAAAATTTACACAAAAAAGGAGAAAACTAGATTTCTGGGGAAAGGTAACGGTCCTGGGTTCGCTCAGTGTGCTAGGTTGTGGAGAGAGGGGTGGATTTCAGGTGGAGACGGGTATTGGATGGCCAAAACTACAAAAAAAAGGAAAAGAAATCAACATCGTTCTTACGTGTTTCACTATTGAAATATGAGAATCACCAATTTTTCAAAAAAAAAGACATTTCAATTCTCCCAAAAAAAATATTTAAAAAAAGAAAAAACCTACAATTAATAACTAACAATACTAACAATAATATTAATTCCGTACTCTGATAGAAAATAGTCTAATCTGACAAAAATATTCGAAGAAATTAATATCACCGATAAATACCTCAAATATGCCGAAATAAACATTTGGGGAGAGTAGAAATACACGCTAATCCCTAAATACTCGAGAATTCCGAGGATTGGGGGGAAAGGTATGCGGGTGACAATGAGACCGAGAGAGAGGAGAACGGATTCAACCATCGATTTTTCGTACCAGCCAAAACGGCTGAAATTCCGTAAAACTCAACTTGCCATAACTCGAAAATGGCAGAGTCAAAAATGACGAACCCTGAGACAAAATGTCCGGGAGAGTCTACCGAAGACAACAATACTCAAAAAATAATTTTCCCTAAACAATTAGCCGCCTCAGGTTAGTTAATCCCCGAGCGGAATTCTAAACGCTAAAATGCCCGCGTGAAGCGAGAATAGCCACGTATAAACGTGGATGGGTATCTGAGGTGAGTCGAGAGTCGGGGGGAATTCCCCCTCGAGAAACACGNTAGTCGAATAACTAAAAGCCGAAATGAATTCGGAAAAATAAATAAACCGAACTAAAAACTCACTTTGGGTTTCTTACCCCTCTTTGGGGTGTTCTTCGCCATCGTGTAAATCCAATAATCCAAAAGTGGGCACTATGATCCTAGGATAGGCACTGTACTAGCACTAGTTCCGGTGAGGTCAAGGGCCAACGCCGAACTGCCGAACTCACGAGCGTCTGGAAACACCTCAGAGCGCGGAATTCACCGCTCAATCACCTGAATTTTGATTGGTGCGGACACGCCCCTCGAAGGTGCGAATCTAACGACAATTAATCGCGACTCTCACGACCTGGCGCGATAATTCAAATCTCACTTAACTCTTCTCTAATCACCTAACACAAAACTAGTTCCTTTTTATTAATTGTTACGCGAGACTAGGCCGAACTGATTGTCGTTCGGATAATTACGAAGGATCTTTGGCGCTTCCCACGGATCGGATCTCCGGGATTTTCGGGGTTAAAAGACAAGTTACCGGCACTTTTTATGACTCCAATACTAATTCCTGCTCAACTTGTTTCTCTCATTAAAAACCCAAAGTCAACCTGGCGATTCGTTGGAGACGATGGTTGCACTCGCTCCGAACGACCTTCCACCCAAAACAAAAACGTAACCAATTAACCCCTGAAAATCCAACGAAATTGGAGCGCCGGCATTTCAGCCGGACCGATTCGATTACCCGCAAGATTAACAATAGGGTGGACCCCATAAAAAGAACCGGATGACTCTATAATTTTTGCCCTTCTTCACGATAATTTGTCTGGACCCTCAAAGACGCGTAATTACTAGTCTTTATCAATAAACGGAACCGATAACTCCAACCGGAAATAAGCCACTCGGAAGTNTCTTTACTAATAAACGGAACCGATAACTCTAACCGGAAATAAGCCACTCGGAAGTGGATAAGGGACTCTCACTCTCTCACTCTTCGATTCTTACTCACCGATTTTAATTCAACGTTGTAGGAGTCTCGCTGTTTACAGATCGTTTTTAGTGTTCCTAACGAACATCCCCACATGTTCGTTACAACGCCCAGACCCGAAATTTTTTGTGAACGCTGAATGTTATGGCCCTAAAACCTTCCAACCCCTACAGATTATGAATCATATATTGTGACCTTATTTTTTCAGACCCTTATTGATTCTGACCCTTGGATTTTGAATCTAAAAATTTCTGACCCTTAAAAAAGTCCGACTTTCAAATATTTGAACCATATTATTTTTGACCCTTAAAATGAGGCCAACTCTCTACTATCTACGTTTTGTAGAGTAGAGAGTTGGGATCGGATGCTTGGTGGGGGCTACTCTCCACTCTCTACAATTTGTGGAGAGTGGATAGTTGGGATTGCGGACTCAATATATTGTGACCCTTAATGATTCTGACCCTAAGATTCTGGATTTTGACCCTAAAAAGTTCTGACCCTTAAAAAAGTCTCACTGTCAAATATTTGAACCATATTATTTAATAGACAGTTGGTCTCATTTTAAGGGTCAAAAATAATATGGTTCAAATATTTAACAGACTTTTTTAAGGGTCAGAAATTTTTAGGGTCAAAATCCAAAATCTTAGGGTCAGAAGCATTAAGGGTCACAACATATTGAGTCCGCCATCCCA